TCTTTTTAACAATTAAACTTTTGACAGTGCTGCCTGGAATACTAGTTGTAACTACTGTAACTGAAGAAAAGACAAACAAATGCATTTTTAGCAAAGAAATTAATAGTAACTGAAACAGGACTTAGGTTTAATCAAAGATGTAACCCTAGAATCAGTACTACATCTTCACTTACATGCTCTCTTTCAAGAAATGATCCATTTCCTGACAGAGTTGTACCACTTCTGTTAAGAGAATTATTGGGCTTAGATGCTTAGCATAACTTCTCCTTTCATGGTAAGACATAAGCGGATTTAGGCAGACGAAACTCTTGGCCAGAACAATTTCATACAAAAATGCTTTAAACAGCAAATTTACCTACCCAGTCTACTTTCCTGACAGTTACCAAGCACAAAATATTCAACTGCAGATTAAAAAAAAAAAAAACAACAACAAACAACCAAACACAGAGAACATATGTAAACTAGAAACCAGAACTAATACTGTACTAAAACCTCACACAAAAGCTGTTTCATGTCATGACTGTCTTTCAAAGGGAGTTCTTCCTTAAATTCATTTTGTGCTATCCAAAATTTGATCCTCTTTTTCCCCGGCTAGGCAAACGTTCTTTGTGGAGTGATTAAGGGGAACATTTTGTATCATTGGGCTTTGCAACATTTGTACTTTGAAACTAACACCTATTTCTGTAACAATTCAATGACCATAAGGAAGCGCCAGACACCTCCAACTTTAAGCCCCATGGAAACTACATTTTTCATAAGCCGCTCCCCTTCAGAAAGAAAGTAAATCAAGTACCTCAATACTGTAAAGCAGTTACATCCTGGAAGTAAGCAGCTACAGCACTCATTTTCTTCTCTCTCTCTTTTCCACTCAAAGTCTTTACACAGAGCACTTCAATTTCACCTCAGCCCTCAAACCAGCTTGGCACACCACTTCTTTTAGAGCTAGAAAGAAAATGTTGTGACACTTTTTTCTTAATTGAAGTTCAATAATATCATTCCATGTGGATAATTCCCACAACATTTTTTCCTCCCTCTCTTCACAATTAGGAATGGCAAGTAAATACACATATTTTTGAACAGTTGTGTTGTGGGGTAGAGCAGGGACATCTATCTTTAGAACTCTGTTATTCCATGTTCCAAAACTTGCAGCACACACTCAGCCCAAACACTGAACTGTTGGTTGATTGACCTGTCAGGTTGCTCTTATTATATACATGAATAAGAAAATGCTACTTAAAAATAAAAATACATTTACACTATGAAAGTGGCTCTGCATCACCCCATAGTATTAAATCCTTTTTTACATAAAATATTTTTCCTTTTCATTGGAGAGGTAATTTATTGAAGGCACATCATACAAACAGTATTTTTTTTTAGTGTCATAGCACACACATAAATGAATATTTAAAATGCAAATAATGTTTTCAGTCAGCTAAATTGCACTCAGAGCTGTGCTTCCAGAACAGTTTACATAACAAGAGTGGTTTTACTTCTACAAACTATAAACGAATATTTTACAGATCATTCTGTACTCCCTGTGGGTCTGTAGCCCATCACTGCTGTATTTTCACATGCCTGCTTTGGCTGCAGGCTCAAGCCAAATTTCCTCCCTCATCTGACTCTGTGACCATGTGTGTTAGTGATTTAAATGGGACAAAGGCAGAATTTGAGCGCTGGCACATGACTATCCATAATTCTGACTGCTGGCACGCTTTCCGGAATGGTTGGGCCTCTGATTAGTACTCTCCCAGGCAATGCCTTTGTAAAAGTTGGGGGCTAGCATAACTCAGTAACACACTGCAATCCATATAAATCTAGCAGGCAATATGGAAAAGGACACCCTGTTTTGAAGGGGAAAGAATTTAGCTGTCTACATATAAGCGATGCCATGCTATGTCATGTCACTTGCACTGACAGCTAAAGAACAAGTCCTAATCTTCTTTATTTTCTGGTACAGATGTAGCTTGTATGTTTCCACCTACCTGTAAATCCTACCTACTCTTAAGGCTGACAAAACTGTATCCTTTTACAACCATCCACAAAGCCACGTGATAACTGCTTCAAAGACAAAGGTGACAGAGGTAATGAAACTAGCCTAGACCATTCCACTGAAGGTAGGTCCACTCTTAAATCAAGCAATCAAATTTAATTCTCCATTGCTCCCAAAAGTTCAGTTTAAATGAAAGCTTGAGCATAGTCCTGTACTAATGGACTACTGACAGGTGGTTTAGTATTTGAGTGCAAGTATAGCTCTTTTGCCTGTCAAAAGGTGGGATCCTTTCCAAGCATTCAGTAGGGTTGGTTTGCTCTTTTCTGCATATGTCACCCACTGCACAAGCCATTTTAACACTGGAGAGACGACCATGTTGCCCAGTTACTCTTTCCAAGACGCAAGAAAATCAGTGGGTTCCTCAGTGTTAACAATGAACTTCTAGTTCATGCAACTGTACTTTCCACACCCAGTCACAATTTAAACTGAAATATACAGGGTAGCCATCATCTTGCTATATGCATAGTCAGCAGTTACCACAATGGATCACTAACCTTGGTTTGATGTTTTAGGGTTATAGCTGTTTTAGCTGAGATTTAAGCGAAGAGGTTTCAGCCTAAGACAAATAAGCATATAAAGTCTGTCAAGCTATGAACATCTGGAACCAAAACAATTAGCAAGGACTGTGAAATCACTGCCAGCTCCACTCACACTGAGTGCTAGTAAGGAACATAGTGGAGTCAAATTTCAGTTTCTCTCTGCTGAAGCTGCCAGGGACAATTAGTCCAAAGTGCAGGCTAGTAAGAGTCACTGGATGAAATACAGTACCAGTCTCTCTAAAATGTAACATCTGGGACACAGAATAATAAAAAAAGTTGTAAAGTAAAACTGCTGCTTCCCACTATGTGTACAAAGGAGCCGTTAGTTACAAATATTTAACAATGAACTTTATCACTTTAATATTTTCATTATTTTCCCTTTTGTATTTTAATATTATGCTGATGTAACATTAATCTCTGTAATAGGCTTCTAAAATCAAGGGACAAAAGCTAGGCAATCAATTATTTTTCAGTTTGAAAACATCTCTAATCAGACTTTCTGTATTTAGTCTTGACATAACACTGTCAGAAAGGCTTGGATGAACACTTCCAGTGAAATTATGTGTGTACTGTATGCTACGGGGAGATACTTCAACAGAACACTTGCACTACTTAATGGAAAACATCTTCAAAAGTTTTACTGAGAGTAGTCTGAAACCCCTGGAAAGTATTTTTACTTCGTGTGTGAAGAAGATCAATCCCCAAAACACCCTAAACCCAATTCTATAATAGAAAGCTCTTACCAACTTTAAATAGTTCAAGCCAATCTCTCTACAGGAAACTACTGAAATTTGTGTATATATGTACATGTTACACGTGTGTACAAACACACACACAAATATATAATGCTGTAATGTGAGTAAAAGATTAACAGAAGACATTTTATTTAATGTTTGATGTACAAGAATCAGTGCATGAATGTAGCTGCTGTATGTGACATGGCATTGTGAATTAGCACCCTGCTATACAGTATCATAAGATAGGAAGAAACAGCATTCAAAAGCAACAAATCAGAAATTACTGTAAAGTAAGAGATGGCGAGAAGTGACTTGTGTGATGTCTTAAGGAAATGTGGACTGCTTTAGACGTGGCAGATTGTTTCCAAAACATAGGAGTCTGAGAGGCTTAACTGAGATGATTCAAATCACATCTTCCTTAAAAACGAAATCAAAACACGCTGTGAGGATAGTGTGTCCCACGCAGCTAATGGGACCAAAGGTAAACGTCCTAAGCAGTGCAACTTGAGTCGGGTATAAGGGCACAGTTGCCCAGAGCCTTCTCCCACTCCCGCCCCACAACACACCAAAGCAGGAACACCCCAAACTAGCACGTCCTGCGCCAATAACCAACCAAGCGCCTCTCTGCTTCGTGACCCTTCAGCGATCATAAAGATTAGTTTACCTTCCAGAAAATTCAGACCCTCCACCCTCCCAAGGCGACGGCCCCACTCACCACCCCGAGGCCAGGCCGCGGATGCCGCCTGCTCCCCACCCCGAGCCGCCGGGCCTCCCGGCCCCTGCGAAGGCCGCAGGCCGCGCCAGAGGCGACGCGTCTCGCCTCTCCCCCCAGCCCCCTCTGCGTGGCTCAGTTCGAGGCCTGCGCTCACCCTCCGTCCCGGGCCCTGCCGCCCACAACCCCGTTCTTGTGTGGCCCTGGAGCCTGCGACAGCTGAACGCTAACAGCACACCCGCGGCGCTGTCCCCCGCTGCCGAGCTCTGGCCTAAAGACGGACCTACCGACGTGCCATATTCACAGCGGCAGCTCTGCAGCTGCCCCAGCCCAGGGAGGCGGCCGAGCCGAGCCGCGCCGAGCCGCACGGACAGGCCACGGCTGTGGGCCTGCACACACCTCCTGCGCCGTGCGGGTAGGCGGAGGCTCAGCGGGAACACGGAACGCACACTCCCCAACCCCTTTAGCTGTGCCTCACTCCTCCTTGCCCCGTCGCATCCCTCTGCGAGGGACTACCCTGCTCCCTCACCCAGCCACCGTCGCGTCCTCTCGCGTCAAACTACAGCTCCGCTCAGCCGCCCCCTGCTATCACTGCGAAGGGGGACACCCACAACCGCTTCCTATCCCCATATGACGGGGCCAACCCCTAACCCGACACCGCCGCTCCCTCAGGGTGATTGCCAGTAGCAATGCTCAATCAGCGCCTTCCCTTTTCTCCAGGCAACCCACGCGGGGGCGGGGTGGGAGAGGCGGGCGGGAATGTTTACAAACAAGGCGAGGGAGTAGAGGAATTGGGAGGGGGAACCGGGGGGTTGGAGCCAGCGGTTAGCGCAGCCGTTGAGCCAATGGGGAGCGCGCGGCTCGGCGGAAGGGCGGGGGAGGTACGTGCAACGTCTCTCTGCCCAACAGCCGCTGGGGTTCGCGGGCGCTCGCTCGCCCAATGAGGGCTCGGCATGGTGAGGGAGGGGGTGCGAGAGCCCGAGTAGGAGCTGCTCCTCCCGGCACCCCCTCCTCCCGCCTCGCGCAGCCTATCCCGGCTGGGCCGCGCCGGGCTCGGCCGGGTGCCGAGCGGCTCCGCTCTCGCCTGTTGGGCGGGGAGGGCGGCCGGAGCAAGGGGGAGGGGAGCCGCAAGGACATGGGCTGGCTCTGAGGGCCGGGGAAGGGAAGCCGACGTGCGTGTGCCTCCCTGTATTTTAACAACTGTTTGTTGCGGGTGGTGGGGGTTTTATTTTTTTCCCCTTCAAGGCGGAGGGGAGAACCGTCGCCCCCCGCCCCAGCGCGCCTGCATGGCCCCTCTACCCCAGAGCGCCCCCGGAAAATAAAGCCCGCCTCGGGCCAGGTGACATACCCCCGCCTCCGCGGTCACACACACACACACGCACACGCACACAGCGGCACGGGCGCGGGAGCGCCCGCCTGCGAGACCATGGAGGGACCCTCGGGCCCGGCGGAGGAGGGGGAGCTGCCTCTCCTCACCGTGAAGCACGAGCTGAGGAACGGTGAGCGGGGCGGGCCAGGGCGGCTGCGGGAGGTCATGGCGGGGGAGGGGGATGCGCCCAGGGGAGCGCTCCCGCCTGAGGGGAGGGCTGCGGAGGGTGCCGGGGGGGGTCCGGCCGCCGGGACTTGGGTAAGAAGTGCTGAGGTAGGAGGTTCAAGATAGTTGATCGGCACCAGTGGGGAAATCTCGGTGAGGAAAAAACCCAGAGGATGAGCTGAAAGACATGGGCAGGGGTGTGTGAGATGCGGGCAGGGGGTCTCTTATTTTTGGTAAAAGTATTTCAGTTGGACTTGTAAGTGTTTGGATCCCCTGTACCACTTCCCGGGTGGTATTTGATGCTTTTGAAGGAGATGAGTGTTACCAAGTCCTTGCTTTTTTACCTCCCCCTCTCCATTTTTATTTATTTTTATTTTTAATTTGTGTGTTTGACTTTTATGGCTATGTCGGGGGGGGGGGGGGGGGGGCTGTTTGTTACAGCCCTAAATGATGTCGTTGTCTGTGACAGCTTTTCTCTGACCTCGGTGAAATGCCGGAATTGTAGGGAGGGGAATGTGCCATCATGTAACCGCAAAGTTAGCTGGCTTTTCAGCCTATTAATCTTCTTGTAGCCCAGTCGTTACTTGAAGACCCTCTGGAGAGGTAGTTCAACACATGAAATACATATGACGTTTCAAGATAACAGCAGAAATACTCTGTTGTAGGTTGGTGTGTTGGGGAAGATCTTTATATATTTTTAATAGGTGCTCTGTGCTTCTTAGAAGTTTCCAGGCAACTTGAATACTGCGCTAAATCTAGATTTTACTTTCAGTTTAGAAATGCATGTAAAATATAATCAGGATGTATGTTCTCTGTATTTGTTAACAACGGAGATACTATTAACTCATGCCCTTTGTTCCTTTTCTCTAATCTTTTTTCTCCATGATGAAGTAAAAGTAAATACTGTTCGTGATGCTGTTCATTTTAAAAGTCTGAGAGAGCCGCCCCCCGGATTAATGTAGTTGACATTGGCTCATGGGCCGATGGGGAACTCAAGTGCTGGGTCTGGGTCTCTTGGATCGCGTTGAGCCTGCTGTCCTCTTGTCACTCGGGGCTCGGCGGAGGTGCCCCAGCGGAACATAGCTATCACTGCAGCTTAAATAGAAGGGAAAAAAAAAAAAAAAGGCCGTCTTCCTGATAGCTAGGCAGAAACCAAAGGGACTGTAGTTTCCTTCTTTCAAGAAGCAGCAAAAGACTCGTGGAAAACATACTTTTCTCGTTGGGCGCTGCTAAATTTTAGTTTGCAGCATTAAAAAAGGGGAAGGGGAAAGGAAACGGAACGCATTTATTCAGTATGTTTACCTAGCTGTGTCTAGATTTCTTTTTATAAAAGTTAGGACAGCATATATCCCCGGGGGATTGTTATTTAAAGATAGTTTGAGGAATACACACACTCACACACAACTAGACAAAGAACTGTCTAATCTAACGTAATAAGCATTTTTCATTTTGATCCTGGTCTTAAGTATTGACAGAAAGTATTGACACATTTCAGAATTCTCAGTCTTCCTCGTGTCTTTTCAAGCTTCTAAATTCAACCAAATAGGATTAAGTTGCTTTTCCCCTCCTGTTTCTCTTCTCCTTATTAAATATTTAAAAAACTGCTTTCTGAAAAAATGCTTTCTAGCAATGGCTTGTCTATTTCTGGAGCATTAGGGTGGAGGAGGGAGCTGCTCTGTCATGTACTCCTGGGAGACTCCTACTCGTGAAGATGTCAATAGTGTCATTGCTATGCAAGATGTATCAAGATACCGTTTCAGAACTTGTCTCCACACAATACACAGAGATACAATAGTTTAGGGAGAAAAATTGCAGTCAGCTTCTGCTGATACAGAAATATATAAATAATCTATAGGATACTTTAGATATTTTTCTTAGGGTTTTTTTTTGTACTGGATCTGACTGGGTGAGTGCTTACCTGCTAGCTGGGGTCAACCCACCACAGTGTTATTGTGCAGCACTCTTGCTTTATTTTGGAAAGAAAGGTGAGGGGACATGCAAGAGCCAGATGATCTTAGTTTTTCTTAAATGCTGAGGTTGTATACCATGAATATCCTTTCAATGTGTGATTTGTCTAGGTTCTGGTGTTCCTCTCCTCTCTGTGTTCTTTCATGGTGCTAGCTCTGTGACTAATTGCCTGATTTAGAATTACATATCGAAAGTAGCTGTCAGTTGACAGATGAAAAAGAGGTCAGTCTCCACAGTGCTTTGAAAGAATGTACTATTGTGGTAGAAAATAGTGGCTTCTTTGAGAAGAGTGTCTCATTTTCATAGTGTGAAAGTTGTTGCTTGAACCTCTTGATAACAAGCTCAAGGGTACAAAAAATTATATATTCAAATCATTTAATAATTTGCAATTACTTCGGTCTTGGAATTGCTCTAAAAATACTAAATAAGTTAGACACAGGCACTGATTACCGTCAAGTAGATGAACATACTATAAAACGTGAATTTAAGATGAAATAAGTGTTTTCAAGAATGAAACAGATGATTGTTGTTACCTTCACGCAAGTATTGCGGCATACGAAAATGCACAGTTAGAGCATATGCAGTGCAGTGCTATTTCTACACAGCTCAGAGCTGATTGTCATACCATGGTTTGACTTCTTTTAAACTTTGAAATTACAGTGCTGGCTTTGATATGTAGGGTAAATCTTTATTTTGCCCCTATATCTCATATTCTTTGGGCCCTGAAAGTCCTGTGTTGCATGACCAGAAAGCAATTAATGAAAAAACATCATTTCATAGGCATGAAGATTGGGCCTGTGATAGGGAAGGAGCTGTGATGCATAATACTGGAGTGTCTCTGTGAGATGCCATGTGATTTTCTGTATTATAGATACTGGGCACTGCTCTGACTGTGTGTGTATACATATATATATTTTATTTTCCTGATGCAAAGAATAAGAATGCTCCCCTGCTGCTGGGGAAGCTGTAATGTATGTGAAGCATGTGCTTCAATGGTTGTTCCTTCAGTTGATTATTTTGCAGATTAGACACAGCAGTGATTTCCAGGACACATTTCAGTTAAGAATGATTTTCTCCTAATATATATATATATAGCAACTTCCCCCTGTTCCCCCTTCTCCTGTCACACAAACCATTTCTTCCTCAGCAGAAACCTTGTAATTCAGCCACTTTAGAAGAGTCACCATCTTTTCTCACTTCGGGAGGGAAATGACTTTTTTGGGAAAGTGGAATCATCTTCTGTTTTCAAGAAGCAGAAGAAAAAAATATCCCAAAGATCAAATTGTAGGAAGTGGTGTCTGTCTCTGCTTCTCACTGAAGCTCTCCAGTGAAAATACTAAGAAAAAGAAATTTTCTGCAGCATCTATTTCCGGAACCTTGTAAAGGAAGAAGTTTTATTTTTTGAAGGCTAACCTTAGAGTTTGTATAACTTCTTTTTGGAGACCTAAGAAGTTTTGTATTATTTACGGTGAAAAAAGTATGTCATTGCCTCTTCACATTTTCTGTTTACTGGTGATGACGTGGAATGGAACAATGGTAACTATAAAGCCTATTAGAGTTTTTGTGCGATAGGGAGGGATATGGGCAGAGAAGGAAAAAACTGCGATGCAGGCAGGTAAGACGGTTAAGAATGAGATTTTGTACCACCTTCTCTTGACTTCTGTCCTACTTCTTGCTTTGGGGGAAAAGAAATAAAATGAGGATTGAAGGATCCTTAATCTAAAGAGGATGTCACTCGTCTCAGGTATGCGCACTACCTGCTTTGCCCAGTGAGAGGCAGAGAGAAGCAGAACTGTGGTCTTGAAGGGAATTTTTGAGACATTCCATGAATGAATGGGTGGTAGGCTGTATGTATATATATGTATATATACATATACATGCAGAAAGGCATGTACAGCCCAGAAATCAACGTAACAATGGGCTGCAAGGCTCCAGAGGCAGAAGAATTTGAAACGTCCACTTGAGTCAAATAGTTGAACGTGTAATTCAGTATGAAAACATAAAAGGCTTCAGACCATAAATACATAGAGTATTTGAAGGGTTTAATATTGCAAATTTTTATTTTCTCCTTCTTGAATGAGAACTTAAACTAGAGTAGATTTATTTGTAAATTGTAAGTTTGTGTTATATCGTAAGGCATTGTGAAAATTCCTATGGCTAAAAAACATGATGAATCATGCATTAAATAGAGTAGTCAGCCTTCACTATGGAGCTATATCCGGCACCTCTACAGTACTCTATTTTTTATTTTTAAAAGGAAATGTTCTTATGAAAGTTTAAAGATTTTTAAAGACTTTTAAAATAATACTTTGTGTGAGACTTATTTTTAAAATTTGACTGTATTCTGGATATTTTTTAGAGATCAGGAGATATTAATAGTTGACTATATTAAAAACTTGGACTGCTTTTACTTTTCTCTTTTCAGCACTAAAATACATGTGCTCCCATTCTTGTGGGAAGTATGAAAAGTGTTTTAAGAGACTAAGTTTATGAATCATCCTTATTATGACTTAAATCTCTAGTTTTTACTCTTTACAGAATCAATTCTTAAAAATGTTTTGTACTGTAAGAATTTATTGTTAGTATCTTCTGGTAACTTTGATTATGATACCCTTTGGTTATCAAGAAGAGTGACTGTTGATCTATTGTGGGGGTTTTCGTTGTTTGTTTTTTTTTTCAGGCTTTGGAGTCTAACAAACCTGCTAATATAATTTGTAAAAGGGCCTGGTACCATTGCTTATTTTGCTGTCATTGCTTCAGTGATATAAAATGTCTAATGTAAATGAGGACTAGTAGTCACAGTTGCTGTTGTCATCCTGTTGTTTAGCTTTGTCCAATGTATTCTAAATGTGATGGTTTAAAAGCTCATGCTGGATTTCACAAAAGTTAGGAGGCTCATGTGCCACTTTAATACACTTCAGGATTTTATTCAGGAGGCAATTCAGAGAACACTTGCCAGAATTCTTTAAACATAAGAGGAAGACTGGTTATCTGAGG